TTTACATCTATTGCGTACCCTTTCATACTGTTGCCAGAAAGATGTTTACACAAATATCAAAAATTAAAGCTTCAAGAATTCAAAGGGTTTCGTGAATCCAGTTAATAGGCAACGGCAGCTGAAACAGCGCCCATCGCGTTGCACGGCATCAGCCGATTTCATCGCTCATCGATAAGCAGCATAAGTTACAAGCGCGTCGGTTGTAAACACGAGGGATTAAAATTAATCCAACTCAGCGGAAATCACGGTGCACTTCCGATTCCAGCGAACACGTCGTGGTCGGACGAGCGTGAACAACGCTTGGCTTGCGTTTAAAACCTTGCCGAATATTCATCTGCAATTTTTTCCGTTTGGATCGTTCCGATCGGTCGTGTTCCACGACCGCCGAGCGGTATTCAAATTGCATGAAATCCACGTTAAACCCTTCCTGTGGGCAAATCCAGCCCGTCGCGGCAGTCTAACGCCTCTAAGCTTGTTACTGGCGGCTTAGGCGCGCTACACTTGGACCGTTCCAGGATCTCGGCGTTAAATTTAGACCGTTCGCTCGGTTCGATTACAACGGTGCCAGGCGCTGTTGTTCGGCGCTCTGGAGCCTTGTGAATCATTCATCCCCCGTAAAACGGTGCCGTGAGAGCTGCCGAGGCCGCGCGTTCGCCTTCCAAGACCTGCTCGATCGGAAGAATTGGCAGTATCGTTCGCAGCGCCAGTTACTCTTAGACTTGATTTCTAGTGAAATGGCGCAGTAGTTTTTTTATATTATTGTTTGTTTGTTGGATTATATTTTTCACTGGTTGCTGTAACCGTATTGATGAATAGCAAGTGAGCATTGAGAATAAAATGAGAAGAAGAACTGATGAAATCAGTCATCATTTTTCCTGCACCAGCTTAGCCATCGCGTGATTGCCCCAACTTTACATAAGTAGATTTTAAACAAAATAATAGTGTTTTAACAAACAGAAAGTAGAATAACTATAAAACACACTGAATAAATGACTCTCTGCTCTTATAATATGTACTTACTGGTTTCTTCTCACAGATTGCCTTGTTCCTCAATTGTTGTCAGCGGAAAGGTTTCAAATCTTTAGCAATGGCCACGAAGATTTCCCGAACATCCGTCTGCTCATTCTGTAATTTATTACATTCACTCGTTTTAAACTTTCATTCCAACTAGAAATTATTACCATCACAATATTATCAAGACTATGTTACAGCATTTTATTTAAAAGGTTTTTACTTTTACATAGTATAGTAGAGTATTTTTAGGCTAGTGATCGAGTAATAAATTTCGCGGTGTGAATTCGCGAATGGAGATTTTTATCGACGCACTAAACTGACCAGATTACACGAATCCGATGAATAAAATATTCGAGCGAGCGAGGAAGCGAGGACACTTAGAGGTATACTGAGCTCTGTGTGTTCCGGTCGTGTACCCTTCAGCGTTGCCTTTGAACAGTACCGTCTCTACATTTCAGTAAGGTAAACGTGTGTCTTTGATAAGAACCCGAACGGGATTGTTTGCTCGGAGAACGGAGGTAGATAACGGTAGTTAGCGTTACTCGAGTAATTGTTGCCGACGAAGTGCTTCGTCGTTGAGTAACTAGCTCTCCGAGCTCGCTGAGACCGGAAATTTAATATTAATATAGTTGTTTTGGAACCGGCGCCAGTACTATTTATTTAGGATTAGGCATTATTTTATCGTCTATAGGGTGCGGTATTATTTCAACTAAATTCATTTGCTTGTTGATTTAATTTCAATTAATGTTTCCGAAAATGAATTCGTATGATACCTTTTGTTAATATATTCACAATATATTCTTAAATATTCTTTAACTTTGATCACGTTATTCTTAGAATATATCAGCATTTCAAATCAAATTTAAGTGACAAAAATACTTTGAAAAACCGACGAGTAGAAACCTGAATAAACTTAAAAGATTCTCAATTTGAAATTCAAAAAGTTCTATTGAAACTCGTAAATTAACTGTGCAAATTATTTCAGAATTAAAATTCAGATTGCTTCTTAATTCCGGTTTCGTTCAATTTCAGTCTGGGAAGCCACACCTTCCAAAGATTGATGTTAAACAGGAAGTTTCCCAATTAACACCTTGCGCACTTACGATGACACCAGCTTACATTACTAGGTATATCTAAAAAGAAACCCGAATGTATGTTATTTAACACTGGATGATCCTTAAAAAAAATGATAGCACTAGAGGGAAACTATTTACTTCATTATTCGACAAAATTATAGTATTCCAATGAAACTATTTATTTTCCGCATTATTTTAGATGTTCAATACTTTCAAAGTATCAATAATTGCGAAATAAGAAAACGGAAACACGTTATTTTGACAAGTGTGGTAATTTACTGTTAATATACTTCAAACAAATAATTCATAATAGCAATTAATAAACTTACCTAGGTATTTAGATATTTAAAAACGAGATTTCTATTTCTTGGTACACAATGTACTACCGAGCAGTCAAATTGACTTCCTCTTATTCTTCTGAAGATATTATAAGAGTATATTTATTGAAATTTTCATTGCCTTCTATTTTAGTTCGTATCTTATCAAATCCTGTTATTCAGTCATTTCTCTTGAAAACGCTTATACCTTGTCGTCTGGTTTTTAGTATTATTATTGACTTCTTTCGGAAGGCAATACGGATGCGTGACATCGTTAGACGACGACGACACAGTGCCACCAGGAAAAAGAAAGTTCCTGCCGGTGGATCGGCCGCGGGAGATGCGTCTCGTGTTTTCCAAAGTTGTCCCATTCCTCCCCAACGTGTCCCGACCGTCGGCAAATCGTCCCGTAACCGAGATTCGTCGTTCCGCCGCGCATTTACGACAGCCTTAAAGCTGTCGCGCATAAATTTCTCTGCTTCTCGGCCAGGGAAACTCGAGACCATCGCCGAGAGATTCTCAAATCGATCGTGACGTTCTCCTGGTGAAACGAAACCGCGGCACGGAAGAAATTTCGCGGCGGAATATAAATACCACAGCGACCAATTCACACCTATATCGATTCAGAAAGCAGCGCTGCGAATTGTAAGTTCGGCGGCTGATAGTTACGGTAATGTAAATAGGGGATGATACTATCGATAATTTGCGTTGAAATCGGCTATTTCAGTGTAAATATAACGAAGATCGTGAGACGCTTATCACACAATTTTTTAATATTTTTTATTATTTTGTTATAATGTGGTTAATTTAATTGTAAAAAGGAAAAAACGAAAAGGATTAGAAAATTTCATTATACATTTTAATGAAAATGTTTTTTATACCGAGGCTTTTACGTGCAACTCTTGTACAGCTTTCGTCTGAGTTTCAGAACTCTCTGCATAATAACACAAAGGCCTACAATATTAGTGGAGAGCAGTATTTTCTGGTGTATTACAGAATAGATAGAATAAGTCTGTTAATGGACGGACAAAAGGTCATTTCGTTAAGAAACGTCGACTACTAACAACCAAATATGTTGCTTATGTTAATAAATAACAATATTAAATAATCAAAATACGTTTAAATTTACTAATATTCTCAGCCCATGTTTTATTTTACAACAGTTTTAAATTTGAAAGTAAAACGGAGCACTGTATTTGCATCACGTGAATATACCACGATTGTTTGCCCATATGCAGTCTCATTCTACTTACATTATACAGAAGACAGACAGAACAGAATATGAACTATTATTTCCAAAAAACAGTTATAAACACATAAATAGCAGCGATATCTAAAATGAATAACCACTTGTCTGCCAAGAGTATCCATATTATTCGCAGTATCGTAGTAATTATATCTAACAAACTGTCTGAGAGAAAATGTTTCCAGACCCCACAAGAACGCAGTAACGCTAATAACAGCTTCAATGAAAAAGTCCTTTGTCTGGCCACGACCGTCCCATTCCACTTCAGCTACAGACAAAGCGAATGAAAGGCCAGAGTTTGCTTCTTATTAAGAATACACCTACATAATATAATACCCGCAACGAGCAGAAAGTCGCGCGGCCTGCCCGACCATAGCCGGACTTATTCTACTCGTCCAGTAGATAAGGTTTCTTTCATTCCGCGAGCCGTTTTATCAAGGCACTCCTGCGAATCTTTTTATGAAACCGCGTACCGGGAGATTTATAGACTCTAAAAAATATGCAGGACTGTCGGTGCCACCCCCGCGGCGTCCTGAAGCCCCTCCGTGCCGCGATATTTCGAATATTGCGTCGTCGAAAATTGCTCCGATGCCCGGCCACTCAGCTTTACGAGCGCAATCGTAAAAAGGTGGCTCGAAGGGTGCCGTTACCGGACATAGAACGGTTTCCTCCAGCCTCTGGGCAGTCTAAAAGTTTTCTACAGAACCATACTGACACCGAGGAACTTTCGGAATTCTCCTCTGAACCTTCGTTCCTCTTAGAGTGAGTTTAAGCCAGTGTTTTCCAACTTTCTTTGGATCACGCTCCTCTTCAGCCACTAAAAATCTGATGCATCTAAGACAATAGGAAACTAAGATTCACGGAAGTTTAATACTAACATACGCCATTTCAGTGTTAATATCTTTTCCTTGAAACGCTAGAGTCGCAGTAATAATAATTTATCACTGAGAAATGTGAATTTTTAGAAAAATACCGATCACTTGACGAGTGTCAATGTTTCTTTTAGCTTTTTTCTGGTAAATTCATATTCCTTTAATGGAAACGTTAATAAATATTCATGTAACATAACCCAAGCCTAGACGTATTAATGTATTATTCTTATAAATGTACTTTATTTAATTATTATTATAATTAATAGCCAGTATAAATCATTTATTTATACATTTATAAGATTCTGTATTGTAATAAAAAGCTAGTGTGCATTAATCTCGAATAAACAAGCAAATATAAAATCAAGCGAATGCCATTTTTACTAAGTATAAACGAGTGCTTAGTTACATTCCTATCTTATCATAGATAAATAAATATTAGATCGTTTGGAGTGAACGCATCATATTCTCTTTCCAGCACACTCCAACTTCATGCGAAAGATACCTCGTCTGCTCATCGCGTTACCGAAGTTTACAAGTCGGTGTTGGTTCACCGAAGATCGATGGCGACGAGTTCGACGGGTTTGAGGTCGCAGGACGCCGCGTCCCGCGACGGAATCGACCCGCATGCGACGACGATGACGCTATAACGTCACAATTCTGCGTTACACCCACAAACTTTGTCGCGGGAAAGACGTCCCGAGGGACAAATCAATTCTAGTGGCCGCAGGGATCCCGAGAAACCAACTCCGCGAGCGACAATCTACTAGGGAAGCGCGATGCTTCTTTCCCGCCGAAATTTTGACTCCCCATCTTTTCCACGGAGTTCCGAATTAGAATCATTCCAATGAAATTTCCTTTTGGCCCACAGGGAGGTAGGGGACTGGTGAATAACTGGGACACCGGGAAACGTTGCGTCCCCGAAAATAGAATGAAAGTTCTTTGGGATTGGCGGACTTGCTTCCGGTAACTGCGAGGTGAGATTGAAAGGGGATTGAATATTCAACCGTTTCGACTTTGACGGGATTCGTTCCCTATTCTTCCTGGTTTTCGAAAGTGTCCGAGCTTTTCACTCTGCTGAGTTCTTTCGCCATTTGATTTTCTTTGCAACTGAGCTTAACCAACTAATTTTACTACGAAGGGATATTTCACTGATTGTAAGTACCAATTTTGAAGGTGATATATTGAGAATAGGAAAATAATATTTCACTTCAATCTATGTGTCATGAGAACATTTATTTTTGTTGAATTAACCTCACTCGTTAGTATAGAGTAAGAGGTTAACCTAGGTAATCTTATTTTCAGTTTTTTAATGAGTTCAGGGCAATAAAATATGATTTCATTCATATAGTTATATTATCGTTTTAATTTTGCGATAATAATGGTACCTAACTCATCAACACGCGGCTAGGTGCATAAACGTTTCATTTCCAAGCCGTGAATAACTGGAAACTCGGAATTTCCCGAGACACGCCAGCAAATTCAAAGGGCAGGTTTTAAAACTTCTTACTCGAGAATGAAACTATTTTTACCGCGGGTCCGAGTGCGAAATCGGAAGAAAGCAGCTCGTAGTCTCGTGCCGACGTAGATCTTGCGCTTAATCGGCGCGAAGATTGGGAAAGTTCAATGAATTATTGGAAGTTTTTTAATTCGCACTGGCGGAGTGCAATGAATCGCGTGAATAGAAAGTTATATTAGTGTTCGCAACACTGTTTGATCAATGCGAGCTTGAAAATTGCATCGCGATATTGTTTGCTCAGAGGCAATAGAAGCGAGCAGTTCCTTCAGAGATTACCAACGTAAATATAAAGCATTCAATCTTAGTAAAGATGTAATGATGTAAAATCACAATGGAATGTACACATTGCTCTCAAGAAATTGAATTACATTTCAAAATTATAATATACTACAAATTTTTAAATAACAATTACATTATCTTTATTACATAATTATAAAATAACAATTATATTATTTTTATTAAATGATTTTAGAATAAAGTATCCTTATATTAGAAAAATTTCATGTTCCGTAAAACGTATCGTTCAAGTAACTCTGCAGAGAATCAGTTGAAACTGGAAGCTTAAAACTAAAGCATATTTCAACCCTCGTTGAACAGCCTGAACAGTGTCCTCGCGTTAAAAATTATCGTACTTTAAAAACAATATCTATAGAAAGGAAAAACGACTGACAAGCAAAAAGAAGTCGCTGCTGATTAAAAAAGTTTAATTAAAACTAAAGTACCGTCCAGAAGTTTCCTTTGATGCTCCGTGAAGTTAGGTATCCGAAAAACGAGAGACGACCAAAAATGTATCCCGGTTTTCAGGCGATCGAGTTTGAGCTTCCGTCGTTCCATTAATCATTTACCCTGCTGCCTTTCGCGTCGATCTCGTTCGTCAAAGGGCTGGCGTCTCTGCACGCGTTAACGATCTCAGGAACTTGCTCGTTACAACGATGTAACTTCTAGCGACGATGATGGAACGTCGCCGCCTAGCTGACGTCGTCGAGTACATAATAGCGCGCGATCATCGATGAAGTACGAATGGCCAAAGTATGGAAATTTCATCGAATAACTATCAATTTCTGCCTCCCACCGTCAAAACAACGGGCGCCCGAAACGTGAATGTTTTCGGTCCTGTATTTCATATATCCATAGATCAATAAACTATATCGTTTTTATTAATATCTTTTAATGTTATATGGCAATTACGTAAGAAACATAAATTTTGCCTTTTCTGTTCTGAATTAGTGATACAGAATAAAAATACGAAAACGTGTTAGATTATAAACAACAATATTGTAAAAAGATTCTATATCGTTTTTACTATTATTTTTTATTATCATATGAAGCTTACGAGAGAAATATAAACTTTGGCATTTCCGTTCTAAATTAGCGACAGAGAATAACATACATAAATTAGATTATTTAACAATATTGTAAATTAAACTTTATAAATAGAAGGTACAATTTTTATTTTTTCCGATACTTGAACCGCTGTAACTTTGTAATAAAAAGTCATACGATATTCTGCCTAAGCTCCATATAAAACACGAAGCTTCTACTTTCACCTTCCATAAACCATTTTCTCCTACGATGATTTTACCTTGTGTAACGGATGAGAAGGTACATATACCTTTTCAGTTCCATTTTACGCTTGAGGAGAATAATAAGCTAGTATCGGTTTCCTTGTACTTTCCTCAAATTCAAGAATAATCTCGGAGACATAACAAGCGGAATTAAACAAAAGCGAACGTACGAAACATAGCAATACTAAAGAAGTGAAAACTTCATTGGATCGAAAACATCCATAAAAGAACAACAGAGTTAAACGAGCATTGATCATGGTGTAATGCAGGCTTGTGGCTGTCCGCGACCCAACAAAAATTTATAAGCTTACAAATTTGTTGACATTACAATTAAAAAATCCATTAACAATACTACAAATACTAGTTGATCACTAATGACTATACTGTTAATATGATCACTATAACACTAGGTTTACGGAAGGCGTCAATTTGATGCGTATTGAATTTTATAAACAGTATTTGGTAAATGTTCATGTCGGCTTTGATTAATACAATTACACTAATATGTATCTTAATTCTCTATTTTTAAATCTCTAACTTCCAAAATCCGAATGAATGAACGTGAATCTTTCTAGGAGTAGTAGAATCAACCGTACAATACGTATCCGTAAACTTAATGTTAAAATACACTCAAATAAAACAAACAAACAAAGAAATAAATAAATACTAGTTGAAAATGATATTAATTTATGTGCGGCCCATAACAACCCATCTTCTTCCACTGAAGTCCAAGGAAACTAAAAGGTTGAACACCTTCGGTCTAATGGCTTATTAGGGGAGCATTGCTGTATTTAAATGGAAACAGAGACATAAGAAGGGAGAAAAGGTTCAGGGAAAAGGGAAGAGCTAGAGAACCGTGATAGTAGGGAAGAGTAGCATCCCAGATATTTAATAAACCCGAAGAGCCGTGGGCCGAGCCGATGCCGACGGAATCGTCGTTCGCGTAATTGCTCGAGGACCCTAGATTATCCGACGTAATCCGATTGGTCGGCTGACCAGCCAAAGGATCTTGTTATTCCGCTCAGAAACATCTGAACGAAAAATGTTGCAACTCGTCCTTAGCCACTGACTGGTTGTTCCCTTTTGCTCGCAGTTTCGCAGGGGAATTAATCGAAACAACAATGTTATCGCGAGGACCGTTAAATTTTATTCTTGCCCCGGTTCCATCGTATTCTTGGATCCGATTCCAGGTACGAGACTTGCGTTTTACTTCTGGAATGTTACTATCGAGAAGAAAACTTCTATAAAACTAGGGTTTCTAATAGAGAAATCGGCATAAACGTTGCAGAGAGGGAATCTATCGGGATTAAGATTCTCTGAACTCTGGAAATTCTTATTTAGGATTCCTTTTTATTCATCGTTTCGATTCAAGTTGAAACTCTCGCGTTTTGAACTTTGAACCTTGACAAAATTGTTGTGATGGGAATTTGTTTTCTTTAATTGCTCATTTTTTATTGATTTCCGTTTGTAAATTATCAAGGAAAATAATAAGCTTCTTGTTTTTTGGTATTACCTACAGTGTTAGAGTATCAGTTGGAGACACGAAGGAATAAGGAGCGCCACGTTGTTAAGTTTAACCTCAATTAAAATTCATGAACGGTTTTCTATGCAAGGCGGGACCATGCGAAGAACAGACCGTCTCTGTTCTTTCTTACGCAGCAGATAGTCGATTGACAATGTCGACCAGCCGATAAAAAATGTTGCAAGCGCGACTTGGCATTTCGTGAGAAGAATGCTTTTGAAAAAATTCAATTTTCTGAGAGGATTGTTAAGAAAAACTGATTTCCTCAGGGCCGTTGACATGACGACAGCTAAAAGCTCATCGACGTTACGTTTTCATTGAAAACTTTTCAAGTATCTTGCTGCCCATTCGATTTATTACTCGCACCATTAGCGTTTGTTTCAGCAACAGTCTTTGCGTTTACAATATTTTATTATATTTAACATACCTTCTAAATAAAATATTGAAAAAATATAACTAGACCCTGTCATTGAATTTCTAAACACCATGTCATATTTTGTCTTTACATGGCAATGTATATACCCTTAATCTCATTTTCTTTATGTAAAGCACAAGATTATGATAATCATAAATATGTAACCTTGTTAGTGAATGTAGTAACACGTTCGTCACTAGCATTTACTTCGATAACAGTTCTCACACTTTCAGTGTCTTATTAAATACAGAATGTCATCTTCTAGTTTCAATACAAACAAAATTTAAGGAAAATTCTTATAATCTTCCTTCAAGTCGTTGAAAGTAATTTACTTTCGTAACGTAAAATACAAAATATTATCACAAATATGTGACGCGTAACACGTCTGCTCGTCTTCTGAGTTATCGATCTCGCGCACACAGACTTCAAATCATATCAGGTCGGTTCACGTGAATTTTTTCCCTTTAAATAGTCTGTTTTGTAAGAATCAAGAGAAAAGAGAAAAATAAGAGAAAGAAGAATCCAGCTCGACTGGAATCGTTTGGCTTACAATTACGCAGCGGCACCAAAAGCACTCGTCGTCGACATGTTTATCGTTTGAAGTGGAACACGAAAAACCGTATTCTTCGCTTTTATTCGGATGGATGATGCTATTCAGGCAGCAATTACGATTTAAATCTGGTGACGAAGGAAGCAGTGACCTACGAATTCTTTCTTTTTTCCTGGCACACTTGTTACCATGAATATTGCAAGGTGCGAAAGGATTTTTGCATTTGCTTCACGAAGAATAACCTTTTCTAAAGAGGAAGTACAAATAGAAGCTTGAACTTTTGTATAATTTGAATGCTCGAATTTCTGTACGCTTCAAATAGAATCATGAAATAATATAACGGTTCTCTTCACATTCTCTTTTAAATCATAAACTATAAACGATAATTATTTGATTCATTATAAAC